CTTCCGTTTTCTTTTCTCGTATAGATATTATTGTTCCTGTGTTTGTCTCCTTGAGTTCTGTATCATGTTATTTTTAACCTTTTTTCTTCTTTTGTTTGTTCTTTGCTCATGTTCTCCCAAATTAATTAAGCTGAGATCAGTTTCCCCTCTGAAATATAATTAAATACAATTTCTTGTTTTACTTTTTTAATGTAATAAACCAAAAGTAGTATTATATATCCATAGCCAAATGCAGGCGAGGATTCAGGTGGGGGGAAAACCGTCCCATTCACCCCATTTTGGCAACTTAAAAAAAAAAATTAAAGAGGAGGTGTTCATTTTTCTTCCCAATTCTTCCTACTTCCTTCTCGTTGTTGCCAAATTTTTGTTCCCATTTTGCCAAAGTTTTCACTTTTCTTCTCAAATCTCCCCTTTCCCCAAAAAATTTGTTTGTCATGGGAACTCCCCCCCCCCCACCCTTTCCGGGTACGCTACTGAGTTCATAAACAGCTTAGTGTTGCTCTACCGGAATTTGTGCAAAAGTACAGGTCTGTTGCGCACCTCGAACGGACCTTGAGCCTATAGCAGCGCATTAACAGCACCACAGGCAATATTAAGCAATATTGCAAAGATAAAGTCTATGACCATATGGAGATATTCTTTGAGATATTTTTTTATGTATGTAGATAGTAATGTGCATCTCAGGAGTTTTTGCATATGGATGAGAACAAAGGCATTTTGAATTAATGTCAATTATTTGCATCGATTCAGTACATGACAGTGTGATGCCGAGTCAGACTATCGTTTAAAGATAAACTTGAGTTCTGGTAAAAAAAAGAAAATTAATTCTCACAGAATCAAACAAAAATTACACTGAATGTTCAAGATTACAAATTAATGTCATTTTCCAAACAATTTTGGTAGAAAATGTATACTGGCTGAGTAATGAGCATAGAAAGATTAGGAAATCATGGTTAGTAGCCCCGACACCATTTGTGTAGTCTCATATACATCTTTCTGTGTACAGTGCTTGTTACTTTACCAAGACTGGGCCAAATTTATTATGATTTTGATGACTCCAGAACTTTGCAATACAGTACACACCAAGCAGTACACATCAATACTTACATGCTACATGATCAACTTTTTCTGATCCATTCCACACCTTTTTTTTCACAATGCAATCGGATGACCAGAACTCACCTTTATCTTTAATATCTGTGTTGGTTTGGAAGAGTACTGGTAAAAGTTTCAATTTCTTTGTACGACTTGGTCTCTCTGACCTGTGTCTGTCTATTTCGTGTAGCAATATGTGTATTGAGGTACTATTTTTTCATTTTTTAAAAAACAAATTTTGAGTGAAACGTGACTGACAATTGGTATTTTTGTCAAGGTATCCACTTCAAGGTTCACAAGGAATGTAGAGGTCTATGAACCAAACCCTTGTAAATAAACTTACCGTACATCTAGAATATATGAATGCAGAAACAAAGTATTAGATATTTGAAGTATCGTGGACAAGTCGTTTAATAATTATTCCTCTAAAAAAAATATGCTAATGGACAAATTACGATTTAGAATTTAGACCAATTTGAAAATGAATATTATGTGATGTGGCCTTTGTACTAATATGTCAGTGTAATTCAGTTAGTAAGCTTGAATCATGCTTGCAAAGTCTTTTTTTTTTGAAGCCAGAAGAGTATTATTTTATTTATTACTCACATCATTTCAAAAAGAGCTTTTCTTCCTCTCAAAAAAACAATTTGCCTTTAAGAATTTCTTTCAGTTTTAGTTACCTACTAAAGACACTGAAGTGGTCGATTAGAGAAAGAGTCACCATCAAATATGTGAGGAACAGGAAAAACAGTAGAAACCTATTTGGTTGTCTGGTATTATACAGGTGGATCCTATGATTTTGTTTTCCTTCTTAAAATTTGAGAGATATACATTGCAACATATTAAGTTATCAAAGGTATTTTTCTCTTGCATCATGCTAATGTTTTCTCTAGATGATGTAGCCATTAAGCTTATTTGTTTAATTCATTGATACAAGTAATGTATTGAAATTGTCTCTATGTTCAATGAAAGCAAGTATATATCTTGTTTTTCACGCTAATGTTTAATTTTTTGCTACTGAAAATGTTATCGTGCATATAATATCTGTCCATTTGTGGATAATTAAGGCATGCTGCACATATATTGCTTTGATTTTTTTAAAGGTATTTAAAGAATATTCTTTGCACATGTATTGAGTAACTGATATAATACAAATATGAACAAAATTATAACTTTTTTTTTGTATGTAAATAATATTGCTGCATTGCCAAATTTAAAGGATAGACCATAACTTCTACTTTAGAAAGAAAGTCTTCAATTTGTGAATTTGTGTTGTACATGATAATAATAATGCTATATTAAATTAGATTTCAGGCTAGCTACATACCGTACTGGTAAACATTATTCTCTACCATTTGCAACAGAATTCAGGTGCTTTTATTGAAATCATGCTGAAACAATTTTGTGCCATTTACACTTTTATTGTAGGATTGATATTCATGTTTGTTAATTTTGTCTACAATTATTGTACCGATGCAGTATGAATATATATTTTCTTTCCAGATTTAATCCTGGCAGGAAGTTTAAATGTATGTTCTTGATTTTTTTGTTAGATTCAAGATATTGTTACGCTTGAAGATTTTTTGTTGTTGACAATCATTCATTTATCTAAATTCTGGTGAAAATGAAGAAATGAGGTGTGAGTATTCTCATTCTCTGTACCTGTATGTTAGTTTGGCAGAATATCAGAAGAAACGTAACTTGACAAGTATTGCTCTTCTTGTGCAGTCATATTCAAAATATGACGAGAAAGCTTTGAATAGTTTGGACCAAACATTCATGTCTTTTGTGTGTGTAGTTCACACATATCAGTGTGCAATGCAAATTTCAGCTAGACTGTCGATTTCTCATCATTTTTGATGATTCTAAAACCCGACAGTATACACCAACTATTATGCACTACATAATTGACATTTCCCAGTTTTTTTCAAAGCGTTATTCCTTGACCAGAACTCAGTTCTAAAGAACCTGTGTATGATTTGTTACGAGATAGTTATGTATGTTATTGTTTAGCATTTGTATTCAAAGAAATAATTTATGTTCATTCGTAGTTCAGTTTTTTTATCTTGTAGACGATGTATTTCATGGTCTTTAAACTTAAAATTATTTTTATTATTAGAGAATAGAATATTTTTTTGATTTGTTTCTTTGAATATTCAGCCGACAATGTTAATGTTATGTTTGCATACATTTCTGGAGTTTTGTCTCCTAACTAGAGTGATGATATGTGACCAACCTGTATATAAGATGTAAATATATGATATTTTCAAGAAAGATATTGCCAACTGTGTTCGTAGATTCTAAATACCAAATGATTAGAACCTTATGAATATACAACTGATCGTACAGACTTGTGTTTCTGTAATTTCTTTTTCTAATAAATTGAAAACACTGGATTACTTTGGAATTTTTTTTTGCATTTTTTTCTCACAGCGATTGTTTCTTTATAATCAGAATTTTGTATCAGTCCTCTTCCTCAGTAAAAGACCCCAAAAGTTAGAATTTAAACTGACAAATTTGCAGATAAATGCAAAGTTAAAGTTGACATAGATTTTATTCTGTTGGTGAATATGTGCGTATCAATCAATGATAATATTATTCTGCAAGTCCCATTTTGACTCTGATTTGTAATGATCTATACCTTCAAACTTAATCTTAATACAAAACATACATGCATGTCACGTGTGTCATGTGCAGAGCTGCCAACTATTACTTTTTTGCTGGAATTATTCTGTTTTTTAATCCAAATTACGGTTCTTCAAAAAATATGTTTTTTGTTTAACATACCACACGTCAAATAACTGCCCTAAAATGTTGATTTGATCACAAATTCAACAGAAAACTAAGGTTAAAACACACTTGAAGACTCAAGAGAAAAATATTCTCAAAAAGAATGAAACGCCGATAAAAAAAAAAATATAACAAATATACCTACTTGTAATTAAACTATAGGTTCTAATATGGAAAAAAAAAAACAGCGTGAGGAATGAACATTTCTGCATTGGAAGTGTGTCGCGCGTGGTTGTAAGTTTTGTTTTGATGAATTCCTTTTTTTTTGCTTGAAATTCCTTTTTTTTTGCCACCATGGTTCCTCTTTTTTGGTTGCACAAGGTTGGCAGCTCTGCATGTGTCGGATAAATGGTGCTTTCATTTAACAGTGTAAACATGTATGACCTCATAGCAAAGAATCAACAATTTTACATGAACAATTAACAACAAAATTAGATGTTTTTTGAAAGGTGGACTGGTTGAATTAGGGCCTTTATTAAATACTGATGGAAGCTTTAATATGTCACATTCTCAAGAAACATAGATTGGGACTTATTAATTGCTTACATACTTAATAGAATTTTTAACTGTAGTTCTATATTGAGATTGTAATTGATTCTCTCTCTGGATACCCCCCCCCCCCCCCTCTCTCTCTTTGGTCTCTTGCTTCATGTTGGTATATCTCCAATATGAGTACTTCCTTTGCATGTTTGAGCGAGTTCTTTTAAAAAAAAAGTTTTTATTTCTCCTTCTCCTTATTTCATTCCCATCCGTTTCTCTTTTTCTCTCCCTCCCCATCTCTTAATTTTGTCCTCTATATTTATTCCATCTATCTTCTGTCTGTACCCTTCTCTCTCGTCTATCTCTTTTCCTTCTCTTTTTCTTGTCTCTCTCTCTCTCTCTCTCCCCCTTTTATCCTATCTCACACCTGTCTCTCGTCGCTCTTTACTTTGAGACTTTGTCTCCTCTCCCTCTATCTCATGTATTTCTCACCCTCTCTCCTCTCTCTCCCTCTCTCTCTCTCTCTCTCTTTCTTTCTCTCTATCTCTCTCTCTCATACCATCCAGTCCTTTCACTTCAGTAATCATTCTCTTCCATGAAAAACTAAGACGTTTATTTTTTTTTGACAAACAAAGTTATGATAAATGCTTTATATCATGATCATTCTCTTTGTACCGGTACAAGGATTGCGTGCGTCGTGCAATCTGTGCAATATACCGGTATGCGTGGGGTGCGAGACGACAGCATTGCATTACGAACATCGCTAAGGCAGTTACTAGTACGCAAACACATAATTTTTGCACTCTTGAATTTGTGCGTTGATAAAATTCGTGATAATATGCAACTCGCGAAATTCACGAAAACAACAGCTTATACAGTATTGGATACATTGTAATTAAGGGGTTAAACAGCACACTAAATCCAAATGGACACCTGAATTTCTTGAGCGAATATAACTGTTGAATACAAAATGATCTCTTTTCCATCAGTGACGTCTCTTACATTTGAATATTTGATGATTGAGTCTAATACAAACATCCACAATGAATGCCATATGAAATACAGTCATAGCCTGAACCAATATTATGAATAGATGCACCAATACATAATGACCAGTACCATACATATGTACATGAACATGGACCATTACTACATGGCCAATCTCGTTACTATATGTTACTCATGTTAATATGACAGCAAGACCCCAACAAAAAAAGAATACACCAAAGAAAATATCTCTTACAAATATGGAATTTGTAGGTATACAAATTTGTAGATAATTAGGGCACACTTTTTATACTCTCTACGTCTTAAAAATCAGTAAATTGAATTTCAGTCAAACCTCTCTCAATTCACTGCAGCATATGATCTTGTATTCATCTAACAAATTACCAAAGATTTGAACCTTGAAATTTTCAATGAGAAAAAATGAAAGATAGTATTCTGGTCATTGTTATCTATTTGTCAAATAAAATATGAAATATAAAGGACCACAAAGTTTGGAAATTACAAGCTAATACTGTTAGCAGAAGCAAACTGCATGTATGTAAGAAAATCCAGCCCACAAAATGGAAACCAAAACTGTTTAATGACAAGACTACAGGTCTATCATCATTTAAAATAAAATCAATAGGCATATCACCCACCAGATGGCAATGAAATCCATTTTTAATTGAATAAATCTGGCCACTTTTGTCCTTCCAACAAAAATCAATAACCAGCTCAATAACAATAATAATAATTTTCCCTTTCATGAAATTGTCCACTTCTACCGTTCAGATAAAACACAACCTGTGAAATACCTGCACTCGTACATTCACGGAAGACAGATAGATTATAAACCTTTGATAGAAGTCATCTTGAAGATCATATCTTCTACTTTTTAAGTTTTTATAACAGATCACAGCTTTTGTTTTGCTTTGGCGAGTTTGTAGATGAGTTGGCAGACATCGTCAAAGATCTCTGGTTGTACGTGCTCTCTCACTCTCCCTATCCACGCCTTCAGCTTTGGTCTTCTGTCTATTGTACCATAGCCGCAGGGTTCTACCTGTATAACCTGTTGGTTTGTGAAAAAGATTAAATATTTTAAGTCAAAGTCGAGTACTGGTTATGGAATTACACCATGAAAGAAACTGTCTGGTTGCAATTGGAAAATGTTTATTATGGAGTATATTGAGCTTTGTGATTATCAAATTGATAACTAATTGATGCAATTGCTCAAAGCTGCATGCATTCTAAACAGAAAAATGTGCATATACATGTAGGATTAGAAACACGTGCTGCAATCAGTGGCATGAAAGTTTGGTCCAAACAATTCAGCTATTTCTTTTCATATTTCAAATTATTAATACCACTTGCAATTTTGATGTGTGTTTTTTCTTCTCGTAACTCAAGAAGAAAGCTGAACTGGCTGAATACTTTTGGATGCAAGAAACATAAATTGGGATAAATTATGTTTTTCATAAACGTGAAAACTTACAAAACAAGGTAAGGGCATGAATGATTTAGTTGTTAACTGTAGTTGGCCATATAGATGATCAAGTTACCTCGTTGACGCCAAACAGGTCCGCGATGCTGATATCATCCCCACAAAGGAAAGGTTTGTCCTTGAGAAAGTGCTTTTCTAAGTTGTCTAAGGTTTCTTCCATTCTCTGGATGTCTGGTGCAAGGGCCGCGGGGTCTGCCGGGGTGCCCGTCATACGGGGGAAGATCACCTGTGAAAAGGAAGAGACAAGTAGGGTTTTATTTAACTTAAAGGCATTATTAAAACAGAGAAATGTTGGAAGAGAGGGGGAGAGGGAGGAAAGAGACTAGATGAAGGAAAGAAGGAGGGAGGGAGGGGAGGGAGAGAGAGAGAGGGAGGGAGAGAGAGAGAGAGGGAGGGAGAGAGAGAGAGAGAGGGAGAGAGAGAGATAGCAAGAGAGAGAGATAGATGGGGGGAGGGAGAGAGAGAGAGAGAGAGAGGGAGAGAGAGAGGGGGAGAGAGAGAGAGGGAGAGAGAGAGAGATAGAGAGAGAGAGACAGGGAGAGGAAAAGGGTGAGGGAGAGGAAGAGGGTGAGGGAGAGGAAGAGGGTGAGGGAGAGGAAAAGGGTGAGGGAGACTAAGAGAGACAGAGAGGGAAAGAGCGATGGAGAGAGAGAGAGAGAGAGAGGGGGGGGGGGGGGGGAGGGGTGGGTAAGAGAAAGGAAGGGAGATGAAAAAACAAGACTTGTATATTGATGTTTACACTTAAACATGTACAATAGGGAAAAAACGAGCAAGATGGTGAGAGAGACAGGGCCAGACAGACAGACAGACAGACAAGCAGAACGAGGTGGAAACATGACAAACACAACAGTTAGCTGTGCAAATCATTGATCAACGTATTCTTAATTAGACCAAATCTTTGATGTAAACTATGAGGGCAAGCCTCTTTGTAGGGGTTTATATGTTATCTATCTTGTACAATATAAGATACCAGAGGGTCAGAATCCAGTGCTGCACTGAAAAATATTATATACCTCACTTAAGTAATCCAGCCATCTGATTGGTCGAAATTGCATTCATAAACTTCAACTGTTCTTGTAAAATTCCCGGTAACCATGCATAAAACATTTAATATTTTTAATAACCATGGTTATTAAAAAAATAGGTCAGCCTCCATGGTTACCCCATAGGTTTACATGTTAAAAAATGGTTTGAGCGATCGAGGATACCGTATGTGTGCGAAGGATTGGTCGGTAATTTCAATACAATTGAATCTCGATCGATCTTACCGACAATTTTATCTTGCATTGTTGACATAAAGACGAAAATAAACTTCCAAAAACAAAAAAACAACATCTGCCGATAGATCTTGATCTAAGTTCGTGCCAATATGCATTGCAAAAGTAAAAGAAGGGTCCGTTTAATGGAGCTTTTGCGAAGCATTCATCACGCCGAAGCCGGTTTCAATCCATTTTAATGTATATATTGTACAAAACTGCCAAGCACGTGAACAGCGCGCGATGGACGAGTGGTGTAAGTCGTTGGTGAAAGATTCATCACTCATTGTACGCAAGGGTTCGACTCTCACCTTCGCCAAAAAAAAAAGTATTTTTTATTTTTTATTTTTTAGTCTATTTTTTTTCGGCATATAAAAGTATTAATGACTGCTTTAATATTCGAGAAATAGTTGTTTTTATACGCTCTCGGGAAGGTTACAATTGGGCTATTCCCCTCGGCACGCCTCGGGTAATAGCACAATTCTAACCTTCCCTTGAGCTTATAAAAACAACTATTTCTCTCAAAGCAGTCATTAATACTATACTATCAACTCATATTTACCCAGTTCCTATATATATGAACTGGGTAAATATGAGTTGGTAGTACTTTATCTCAGTAGCTGATTGAAGTAGGGGCAGGTACACAGCCTGTCCATGCCCCTCAACCACATTTTAAACCCAATTTTACATAGCTGTGCACAACAGTGTAATGAGGTACCCGAGTACACTCCCAGGCTTACAAGCGAATACTCGAGTATTCGGACGCCATGTTTTTTAATAATTTTTTTGAATCTTTTTGATTTGTTTTGATTTTTTTTGTTTTTTGTTTTTTGTTTTTTTGCCACCACCATACCACTGGGGCAGTATCTCACGTCGCCGAAAACGCATGCAATTTTACTTTGAGTTGCAGTTGAAGGCGCCGATTTAATAATAATAATAACAGTAAACAATGCTGTTTTAAAAACCAAAGATGGCAGAATAATCCATTTTCCTCCAAGTCCAAACAGAAATCCTGACATTTGGTCCCAGTTTCTGAGTGGTGAGTTTGACAGTGCTTGAGTTGGGAAGCATTTTTACCGACGGCACCATGCCAGCGGCCGCCGCTCACAGACAGATTTATTTATTTTATTTTTTTTTTTTTGCGGCCGAATATTCGGGTACTAAAAATCGTACCTGAGTAGTTGTCAACCGTGCGGGTACTCGAGCATTCGACTACACGTCGCAGCCCTACGTGACCTGTACATTAAGTACCCCAAAACCCCTCCCCAATCAATGATATAATTTCTATGATTTACATAATTTACATGATCGAATGAGTTTATGGCTGTGTGAGCATTATTAATGAAGTTAAATCAATGCAATACAAAACAATCTTTTACAACACTGAAATTGCACGCAATTTGATAAGTTTGACTCACTTCTGCGAGAAATACTTTAGTCATACGAGGTCTCGTATTGAAATGCTGCCAATCCAAATATTCATTGACCCTTGACCTCTGCTGAAGGCTCTTGGGAAACCAGTGATCCGCACAGTCAAACTTTTCATGAAGATACTTTGTGATGGATACACTTTGCGAGCCGGGAATATGAAGGAAGATAAGTGGATATAAGCAGAAAGATGAATGGAGTATGCACGATATATTGCATTTTAACTCTGGTGTCGGAGTATTTTAGGTGACTCCACACTTTTAAAGCAAGGTGTATATAAACTGATGGAAGTTTGAAACTTGAACACGAAGCAACCACATGTAACTTTAGAGCACTTGTCTATAGAACAAGGATTATTCAAACAATCCTTAGGAAATGTCCGCTTTTCTGTAAAGAACTTGGACTAACCTCTTTCAAAAAGACCTTTGCAACATTGATTCTGGTGTTCATGTGTTGCCAGGCGAGGTACTCATCGACTTTGGCCCTAGTTTGGAGGTCGGATGGGTACCAATGATCAGGGCATGCATGCTTGGCCTGCAAGTATTTCACTATTGCGATACTGCATAGTTCAGAGAAGGAAAAAAATGTTCGGAAAACGCACAACAATAACAAAAATCACTACTGGGATAGCGTTAGTTCAGAGAAAAAAAATTGTTTTTTCAGAAATTGCATGAATCATGATTTGTTTCACTATTATGATACCGCATTGTTCATACACACTGTAGAAGGAAAAATTTGTTCAGAAATTCCACCAATCACAGATTTTGGCATAAAATGAAACCTATGGAATTGCGATCAATAAATTAAAAGAAATCTTTAAAAATTGCAAAAAACTGCAGAAAATTGATCACAATTTGTAGCAATAGTCTAAAATGATTTGGGCCTATCCCAATTAGTGGTAACCATATGCATTAGCAATTTCAGACAATTTTTTTCTTTCTGAACCTTCAACCAGTCTCAATATTCCAATCACATTTCTTTAAAACCATAAATAATCAAAGATTGGCTATTTGACTATCAAGAAAATAGAAAAATAACATGTTATAGCAACTTTCAAAATTTATAAACACTGAAAAATGTACATTAGTTCAAGCCGCTTGTATTAGCATAGAAGCTATTTATACAAAATATACATCACAGCTTTTTTTTTCTTTGTCTGAATAGTAAGTAGTAAACAAAAGGAGGCGAAGGCCAAAAAGGAGGCGGGCACTGACGAGAAACTCGTTGTGTAATTTGGCCTAAAGCAATGGCATAGGCCCTTGTGTGAATTTCATTTTAAAGGGCAATCCAACGCTAGTAATACTTTCATTTGTATGACAACAGAATAAAAAGATTTGAAGAATGGCGAAAGTATAAAAATGAATCAGATTGTAGTGAAAAAGTTATTAATGTTTTAGATTTGAGCGCCCACGTGTCTGGGCACCTGTATACTGTTGAGCCCTGGAAAAGCTGACACATACCTTTTTTGTCCGCATTGAATCCTTTTAGGGTCAGATGGTGTGGGCCCCCATCTTTAAAAAATCCAAATTTGGGGGACTAAAATTTTGGGTGTCCATGTATCCCTGGCACCTGGCAGTGTTGGGCCCTACAAAAGTTGATACATACCTCTCTGTGAGTTTGAACTCTCCATCTTGCATAGCCGGAATCTTCTTCATTGGATTGACGGCTGCATACTCCTCAGATTGGTGCTCACCTAAAAGGTCAAAGGTTACAAAAAAGGGCATGGTAAAGAAAAAAAGATAACAGAATAAAGAGATGGAATTTATACCAAATGAAATAGCACAAGGAACTAGACAGAAATAAAATTCTTCTACATGAAAAATTAATATCAGGGCATTAAATCACCCATATCATTCCCTATATTTATTCAGTATACTTTAACAACTTTCGAAAAAGAATGGAAAGTGATAATAACTTTGTCAGGACATGGGAAGCATCACAGGAAGTATTGCCAAACTTTTACACTAAATTATTTTCATCAAGTTGGCATAGCATTGGCATAGCATTGCTTAGACAGCAATAACCATCTGATTTGGGTCATTTCTTTAATAAAACTGACATTTGTTGTCATTCCCCAATACAGATGGCAACCCAGAGATTTCGTACCATGGGGGTAGCTATAGCCAACAATGGCAGCTTTTTATGTCAAAACATTTTCTCCCCGATTTTCTTTATTTAGATCTAATTTTCTGATTTCTAAATCAGATGTAAATTAGGTCGGTATGTCATTTGTCCTAATTACAGTTATCAAAATTTGATAACTTAATATTAAATGTATAATTTATGGACTTACTTATATGAATTATCCAATTTGTATTTCCGAACTGTGAAACGGTACGTTCATGCATTCGAAATATTACCCGGCGGCCGATATATTTCCGGGTCCACCTACCAAAACATAGCCAAATGGCCAATCAGAGCACTCGTTTCGTGGGAGTTCGTTGGTCAAGCTGGGCCGACTCGTACGTAGCTACGGTAGCTATTGGACGTTCGAAAAGAAAAAATGAATATTCATCAACTAAAACCAAGACGGATAATGTTGATGACGAGACTTTCTCGGATTAATCATTAATTTAGGATCTAAATGAGCAAGCTATCGTAAGTCAAATAAGCTATATATATGTTATTTTTAATTTGTGTTGTAATTGCAGCAGTTATGAGGATGTAAAGAGTGAAAATCTCGTTGCATATCTCATTCATCGCGGTCCGGTCGAACCGAACCATTTGTTCCGTACAGTGCCTCACAGAAAGAGGTCCCCAGACTTCAGTCTCTATAATCGGAGGTCTAGTGGAGCCAGACGTAGTCTCAGTGGAACAACCGACGATTAGAGAGACTGAAGCTTTCGGTCTAAGCATTGCTATGCAAAATCAGCCTTTTTTTGTAGGCCTACACCAGAATTTTACGGTGCATGGTACACCCCTCTTTTGGCCAGGATCAACATCACTAATTTTCGTCATAGCCAGAGGTCATTGAATTGCATTTTGTCATTAAAATCACATCACTTCATCACATTTTACAGGATTCACACTCAGCTCAGAGTCAAACTAGATCTAGATTCTAGGTCTACGTACATGTAAAGTTAGCTCTGACCTCTGCCATTCGAGTAAGAAAATGCCTATATTCTTTCTTTATTTAATTTCATAGTGTGATGCACCGTTGATGCACAAATGAAATTTTGTTCCTTCTTAATTTCAGCAAACCGTATATTTTAATAAGGCTTGTGCCATGGGGTGGGATCAGGCCCGTGTCTTTCAATCGACATTCAGCAGAACGCCTCGATACACGCCCCCCGAACTCTGGCAGAGAAATGGATAGAATTAGTACGTGCACTTACTTTTTCGCATGGCTATTGGACATGGAGTGTATGGGATCTTGTTTGCCCTCGCAAACATCAACACCGACCTCGCAGGCTGCGACATCAAGTCGTAGAATATTTTGACAGACATTTTGCAACTTAGTTAGGTAATAAATTGTGTAAATAACGATGCTTTTTACTGGCAGGTGATAACCTTCCTATGTTTCGCCAGTAAGTATAATATAATTCGCGAACGCGATCACGTGCGCCGTTCACCATATATGCACATGCACGATATATATATTTCTCTCTCTCGCGCGCGCGCGCATGAAAAATATCGCCAGTAATTATTCCGAGAACTAGACCGCAGCTTACAAAATAATGAAGTTCACCTTTATACACGAAATGTGGCGTTCAATCACATAGCGAGATACCAAAACGGTCTTCCATTAGAATAAAAATGGAAATAGAAATATAGAAGAAAAAAGGGAAAATATAAATAAGAAATAGAAATTGAATTTGTATTTCTTGTTTTAAAAGGGCTAAAAGTTTATATTATTGCAATTTTACGTCTGAGCGCCCCGCCCCCCCCCCCTCCCTCACTCCGAGAACGGACGGACCCCATGCGTGTTACCAAAATGTCCGGTAAAGGGGTTTTCGTGCGACAAAGTCCGGCTCGAGAATTGTAAAAAAAAGGGGTGTATTAACTTTTCACCCGGAGATTTCTTTAAAAAGGGGGTGTTTTTCCTTTTTTTTCCTCTCATCTCTTTGGACTCCTGAGAAATTATTCCGAATTTAGGGGGGGAAATTGAGCATTTTTCATGATTTAGGGGGGTCTCCGACTCCAAGGCAGGAAAAGCCCGCGAAAGGGGGGTTCGGAAATGTTGGTAGTCCTCAGATAGGGGGTGCTTTCAAAAAGAGGGAACAAGCATGTATGCGTACCCTAAATAACACTGAGTGGGTAGGGGGCGGGCTGACCGCGTGCAGGAGCAAAGTTGCATTTTACGCCTCTTGATTGGCTGACAGTTATTTCTATCTTATTATGACATCACAATCAATGAAACTGTACACACACCAATGCGTTGTTATTGGCTGAAAGTCTTTCTCGCACTTCCATTATGACATCACAATCAGTTCAAAAGACATGAGTGCGCAGCCACTTGTTTATGCGTCTTGATTGGCTGAAAGTTTTCATCACCCTTTTGTGACATCACAAACACAGTTATTACAATCGCAATAAGTAAACAAATAAAGGGAAAGTCCACCCCCAAAATAAGTTTGTTTCGATAGAGGCAGAATAATAAGAAAATCAGGTGAGTGAAAGTTTGAGCAAATTCTGAATGAAAATAAGAAAGTTATGAATTATTGAAGTTGTTATCAATCAAATACAAATTGGCAACTCTTCGTTATTGATGACGGAATATATATTTGTTCCTTGCAGGGGGAGTATAGAAACATATTTGCAATTATTATATTTAGGGTGCATGTATGGTTGAAATTTTTCTTGAGGGAAAATGAAAATTTTAGATTTTTTTAGTACTGAGCAAATGGAAGTTGAGCTCGCATGATACGTCATAGAGTTGCCAATTTGTGTTTGATTGATCACAACTTCAAAAATCCTAACTTCCTTATTTTTAATCGGAATTTGCTCAAACTTTCACTGACTTGTTTCTCTCATTTTTCTACTCCTATTAAAACTAACTTAATTTCAGGGTGGACTTCCCCTTTAAACATAACGTACATTTAAAATGCTAGCTAGGAGCCGTCCAACCAACCGACGTCTCAGTCGGCGATCGAGAATGCGTCAACCTTGATTTTCCTAAATCTAGTAACGGTACTAGTATATGCCGCGTGCGCATAAAATATACATTTCCTCAGGTAGACAAAGGATAATCCCTTCCCTACTATTACGTAAAAATGTGTAGAACAGGTGTCACATGCATATTCACCTGTTCTATACTTTTTTACATAATAGCAGTGAAGGGATGTTCTACCACAGCAATAGGCCATTTTCGTAATGTAGCCAAATTTAATGCATAGGTCTTTGTGAAGTGCCTCAATACAAACTATTTCATTCACCTGATAAGAATAATAGTATTTCAATAGTCAGAATCCTAACTGCATACATTAGTTGTTGCCAGGTTGGACAAACATTATCGCTTGACCTACCTAGCAACACTATATGCAGTTGCATTCTGACTATTGAAATACTATTATTCCTATCAGGTGAATGAAATAATTTGTATTGAGGCACTTCACAAAGACCTATACATTAAATTTGGTTACATTACGAAAGTGGCCTATTGTTGAGGGTAGAAAGAGGTACTGTATATTTTGTCCTCTTTCTTTGTCTGTCATGTTCATACTGTTACTTCCTGCATGCATGTATATCGTCGAGTGCAATCTGTAGTCAACATGGGCAGTTCAGTACGTTGACACGCATGATCAGTCGGCGTTCGTCGTGTTCTCGTCCACTCGATCTAAAAGTCCCTATTAAGGCCGGTGTGACCGCGTAGAATGTAACCCGCACCGATCGTCCGACTATTAGAGATCAATCGAGAGCGGACGATCGGTGCGGATTTTATCCGCGCAGAATGTCCGTGTCAGACATTCCGTGCGCGCCTTAAATGTCTGACGGACAATCCGTGCGGAAGAGGTCTCACACCAATAGTCCGCCTGCCGCACCGAATGTCCGTACTCTAGTCCACACATATACATATAGTCAACAGTGGCGTAATGAGCAAAAACGTTTGGGGGGGGGGGGGCTGACAAAAAAAAAATCTGAATCACCCCACTCTAACATGCAGGCCCCGCTGAACGTTTCTCAAAGTGGGGTCTAGGGGCAAACCCCGGCGGGGTTCAAGGGGCGCAGCCCCCGAAGCTCAAGGGGTATGGGCATCAGTGGCGGATCCAGGAATTTCTTACCGGGGGGGGGGCACAAAATGGCATTGGGTGAAATATATGTAAAACGATGAAGCGACAGAACGAGGCTTTAACGGCGAGGGAGCGGAGCGACCAAGCAGGGGTGGGTCTGGGAGGGGGTTCTGACCCCCTCCCAGAGTAAGAAGCATTTGCAACTTTAGAACCAAATTAGACGCATTTTCAGGCACTTCCTGGAGTAATAATTATGAGGTAAAATCGCTTTCTCCTACCCCTTCCAAGAATCTTTTGCAATTTTAGAACCACAATTGGCGCATTAATGTCCACCGGCACTTCATGGAAAAAAGAGGCCTTCTGATTGGTTAGGTGTTAGAAAAAATCGTGAGACGTATAAATTATGCTTTGATGCCGCACAATGCAAAAGACGGTGGTCCGGTACTTCACCAGTAGTACTTGCAAAAATTATCTCGAGTATAAAAACTGTGTCGTTATCAGGTGTGTCGCTAGATCTTTTTCAGTGGGGGGGGGGGGGGGGGGGGGGAGGGTGTAGAGGCCGCCGATTATGTCCAAATGTCTACAAATTTAACCCTATAAACCCGGGGTCAGGAACTAAGTTATTTTTCAGTTTTTCACCTTCCGCGCAAAGCTTTGACACTTCATTAAATTATTGGAGAAAGAAGACGATCCGTTGTACTGTTCTCGACTCTTAAAGCTTGTTTCGCCCCTCCCGCGCAAAGCGCGGAAGCTATGACGTTTCATTTAATTATTAGAGAAAGAAGACGATTCATTGTACCGGTCTCAACTCTTAATCCTTGTCTGAATTCAGTTCCCCCCCCCGGCTCCCACGCTAAGTGCGGAAGCTTTGACGTTTCAATACATTATTACTCTTAATCCTTGTCTGAATTCAGTTCCCCCCCCCCCCCGGCTCCCACGCTAAGTGCGGAAGCTTTGACGTTTCAATACATTATTACTCTTAATCCTTGTCTGAATTCATTTTCGCACATCCCGCGCGAAGCGATGACGTTTCATTTAATTATTAGAGAAAGAAGACGATTCATTGTATCGGTCTCGACTCTTAATCTTGTCTGAATTCAATTTCCCTCTCCCCGCCCGCGCGAAATGTGGAAGCTTTGACGTTTCAATAAATTATTACACTTAACCCTTGTCTGAATTCACTTTCGCCTACCTTGCGCGAAGCGCGGAAGCTTTCACGTTTCATTAAATTTATAGAAAAAGAAGACGATTCCCTGCCCCCCCCCCCCCCCCACTCAGTGTTATTTTAGGGTACGCATATGCTTGTTCCCTCTTTTTGAAAGCACCCCCTATCTGAGGACTGCCAACATTTCCGAACCCCCCTTTAGCGGGCTTTTCCTGCCTTGGAGACCCAACTAAATCATGAAAAATGCCCAATGTATACCCCCCCTCCCTAAATTCGGAATAATTTCTCAGGAGTCCAAAGAGATGAGCGCAAAAAAAAAGAAAAAAACACCCCCTTTTTAAAGAAATCTCCGGGTGAAAAGTTAATACACCCCTTTTTTTTTTTACAATTGTCGGGCACGAAAAGTAACCCTTTACCGGACATTTTGGTAACACGCATGGGGTCCGTCCGTTCTCGGAGTGGGGGGGGGGGGGCGATTCATTGTACCGTTGAACCGTTCTCGACTCTTAATCCTTGTCTGAATTCCGTCCCCCCCCCCCCTTTCGCGCAAAGCTTTGACATTTCAATAAATTATTACTATTAATCCTTGTCTGAATTCATTTTCGCCCATCCCCCGTGAAACGCGGAAGCTTTCAAGTTACATTAAATTATTAGAAGACGAATCGTTTTATTGTGTCTTTGTCTTAATTCAGCCCCTCCCCCTCCCACGCGAAGCGCGGAAGCTTTGTCGTTTCATTTAATTATTAGTCTTAATCCTTGTCTGAAATCATTTTCGCGTTTCATTTATTATTAGAGAAAGATTAAGACGATCCGTTGTACCTTTCTCGACTCTTAATCCTAGTCTGAAATTAGTTCCCAACCCCCTCCCGCGCGAAGCGCGGAAGCTTTGCCATTTCATTAAATTATTAGAGAAAGAAGACGATTCGTTGTACCGTTCTCTACTCTTAATCTTGTCTGAATTCAATTCCCCCCACTGGGCCCCTTAACGGTATATGTGCAGTGTTACATGATGTAAGTATTGAACGCTTGTTTGCAAATATGTGCATGCTCAGTCCGAGTGGTGGGTAGCATGTTATCTCCCTGCAGTGCTTTGCACTGTAGCTTCTGGAAATGAATTAGTATTACTGTTAGTGGCCACTATAAGGCCCTTAGTGACTATAACAAAAACATATGCTCTTCCTGGCTATTTGGGAATGGGTCAGTTTGCAAGAAATAATGGAGAAACTAGCATTTTGTTGAAAATCATGTGAT